GATCATAAGTCTTTTTCTTTTTATCTTTTCTTTCTGATACTGATTTTTCTGTTCTTAGAGAAAATCATTATGAGTTTTACTGTGTACAAAGTCATGATATTCACAGATATTAAAAAACTTTTCATAACTGTAAAGTTCAATATTGTCAGAACATTCACTCTGATAAATTCCTTCAGAATAATAGATCTGTATCAGTCTATTCTCTGACATCTGTCATCTGACTTCATAGTGCAGGTAAAAGATATCCATGTTTTCAGAAACAGAAATACAGATGTCATACTCTTTTACATCTGTGAGTGTGAGGCTCATACACCTTGTCTGAGATATCATTGTGAGAATGAGTTATTCACATGCTGTGTTCTGTTTCCTGCATTCTCTCATATCTCTCTCTCTCTTCCTGAGAAGTCTCATACGTGTTGTAATTGCATATACAACTCTAAGACCAGTGAGTGTTCATTCAGTAACTGTTTCTATCTCTGATTTTGTAATTTTTGTATACTAACAATAATTCTTAGTTGCTTCAGTGTCAGAGACTATTCTGATTGAAGATAATAACATCACTGAGACTACTCTCTCTCACTCTCAAGCTTCTTCTGTCACTTTCTCTTCCTTCTCTGCAGAGAAGGTTGTGTGCACATCAGATTATAAGTATTCAGCTCTGAGTGACTTCTGTCATTTGTTCAGTTCTGTGTCTTTTTCTTCTTCTATTTCTTTCATCTCTGCTTCTTCTATTCTGACTTCTGGTCCTGCAGGTTCTGTACTCTTCTTCAATTTCTCTACACATACACATGCGCATTTCTATATTGGCATTCCAGTCAATCTTGCAATCAATGACATTAATGTCATACACAGAGCAGTAGAGAAATCAGAGACATGCACAGTATTGTTGTAAGAGCAGCTTGTGACTCTTAAATCTCTTGCAGATCTTGAGTTTTGAGATTTTCTTTGTTTTTGACATTTTTCAGATAGTATGGCATTGAAAATAGATTAAATATGTGACATATGAAAATGAATGAGATGTATATGATAATATTTGTCTTTTACAGCTGATTCTTACAGTTGATGATTAATTTATCATTTCTTTTCTTACACTTTTTCTCTATCTGCTAGTCACTACTCTTACACAATCTCTATATAATACAGCATTTGATGACTAGATTCAGCAGCTTTCAACTTTTTATGATTCTGTCTCACACATTATACTGTCTCTCTTCACTCACTTAAATCACTACAGTGAACAGTCTATTAAAACTAATCTCATTCAATCTCTGAGCATTCTCAGAGGTTGAGATGACTTGATCTCACATATTCACAGATATTTCAGATAGTTTATTCTCTGTAATCTCTGTAATTGAACTGGTGTAAACAGTTGAATTCAACTCTGAATTTCTTTTTCTTCTGTGATCTGACTCACATGCAAGTCTGCTACTCTGAGACTGTTCTTTACTGCATTGCATCTGCTGTCTGCAGTGTATTATTATATAACTGACTACAGTCTCATCACTTATTGAAGTGTGATGTTTGCCTGATTTCTTCATTACTTCTCATTCTTTTCTTATAATTATGAAAAGATCAGAATAAGTGAGATTATCTGATTCATAAGTGTCTATGATTTCTCTTACTTCATAAGACTTTTTAATTATAAGTCTCTTCTTTTTCAATACTGATGATAGTGCTGCAGATGATTATAATTCACTCAGATCTTACATCTTTACTTTCATAAGTTGTGAATCATTGATTAAGTTGTATAAGACTCATTCCTCTGATTCTTTCAATGTGTATGTTCTCAGAGAATGTGATTTGAGTATTTTATATGACTCAAATCATCTAGGTTGAAACTTCTCAGAACTCTCATTGTGTATGAGAACTTACAGTCTCATCTTGAGACTTGATTTCTTAACAAGTGAGTCTTGTATTCTTTTTAATTGAATTGCTCAGTTCAGAAGTAACTCATTAGCTTTTGCATGTGCATGACTGATCTCTTTCAATCTTGGTTCTGTGTCTGTGACTGTTGCGTCCGCAGCTGCTGTTTCCTCTCTCATCTTTTTCAAAGCATTCTCTGGAATGCGCGGATGCAATTCATACAACAGGTAGAATAATGAACACTTGAAGACTGCATGCTGTCAAATCTGCATGGCCAACAGTGCCTGCCCAAGATATTCATCTTATAGTCTTATAGACTTGTTCACTAGATATTTTATTAGCATATTACTCAAGATTCTATTCAAGCATTTCACTTTCTCATTTATTCATGAATAATATGATATTGTTCTACAATGTCTTATCTGTAACTAGCTTATAAAATGTCTCACTGCTTCTTTCACAAGGTTCACACTGTTATCAGTTAGAATCTCGCGCGGCATTTCATAGTTGACATAGATCTCATTATGTAGAAACTTCACTATCACCTTCTCTGTCATCTCTGAAACTGCTTTCACAACTGATCAGTCAGTAGTGTAATCAATAGCAGTGATTATTCATTAATTTTCATTTGACATTCACAGTAATATGTCTATGAGATTCACTTCTTATCATTTAAACAGTTATATTATACACTTTATCTGATGTTGCACTTCTTCACATTCTAACCCTTTTTTAGATTCTTTCACAACCTGGCAATTCAGGCACTCATGAGTGTATATCTGAATATTCTCAGCCATGCTTGATCAGTATACTCTTGATTCAAGTACACTCATGAGTTCAGAGCTTTCTAAGTGACTGAATTCCTTGTGCATGCAAGTCATCAAGTTGTGTCTAAATGAAGATTCTAGATAGGGAGCTTCTATATATTCTAGATCACAGTAAAGCATAACATCATTTTCATTTCTCAATTTCCTCAGCTTGAAGTTCAGAAGCATCTCTTCTACTACTCTTATAAGATACTTATTATTCAACATCTTGTCATTCTTTAAGTAAGAGATCATGGCATTCACTCATTCTGATTCCTTGTATTCTCTCAGTGCATTTAATGTGAACATCTCTTATATCTGGTTCATAGAACTCTCACTCATGAAATCAGATCTGTAACTGATTATGTTCAGCATCACTGCATCTGATTCTTTTCAGTATTTAATATGAAGATTATACACTTGAAACTCTGAGATTCAACATGCTAAGTGTTTGAAAGGTTTTATTATTAATTATAAATAGATGAGACTTTTGTGATTCATGATTACTGTTATTGTATGTCTGTTATTAATATATCTATCTCATAATACCAGTGTGTGCTTGATTACTAGCAATTTCTTTTCATACACTGAGTAATTGAGCTCAGCACTCAATAGTTTTCTATCATTATATATCATCAGATGCAGCTTATCATTCTCACTCATCTGTAGAAGAGCATCTCTGATAGCTCATTCAGATGTATCTGTCTCAATGTAGAAAGATTTATTACAATATGATTGAATAAGCACTGAAGATATTATTATATATTTTCTCAGTGTGAGAAAAGCCTCTTCACACACAGTATTTCAGATAATTGAATAAAACTTCTTCTTTCATAGATTTACATCTGTTTCTCTCAAGAGATCTGAGAGTGATGCAGATATTCATGTGAAATTCTTGATGAATCTGCAGTAGTATAAGATTAACTCAAGAAACTGTTATATATGATGTACATTTCTCAGCTGCAGTCAATTCACTATGACATTCAATTTCTTCAGAATGAGGTGTATACAGTCATCACTTACTACATATTCTACAAACTTCAACTCTTCTATTTCAAACACACACTTAGTTGATTTGATGTAGAGCTTATACTCTGTCAGAGTTGTAAGCACTTCATCAAGATGCTTCAGATATTCATTATATGAGTTTGAAAAGACTAGAATGTTATTAAGATATACAAGACATGAGATTTCATTCTGTTTATGAAGAATTATATTCATCATCATTTGAAAGATAGCAGGTGCATTTGTTAGACTGAATAACATTGTCAGGAATTTGAACTTTCTTTATTGTGTATTAAATGCAGTTCACAGAACTGACAGTTTGTCTACACAGATCTGTCAGTATTCTGAGAGAAGATCAATCTTCAATAGATATCAGATGTTTTCAATCATATTCAACTATTGTTGAATTCATGACAGTGAATATTCATTCTTGATTGTAAGCTTGTTGAGTGCTCAGTAATTGATACACATCTGTCACTTCTCATCTGCCTTTTTCATGAATAGGACTGGAAAACCCCACGTGCTTAATGAGAATCATATGAGATCACATTCTAGAAGGTCAGTGATCTGACACTTCTGTTCTTCAAGATGCATTTGTGACAGAGAGTACACATTCTGATTGACTGGTTTTACATCTCTCATATTAATCTCATGTACAAATCCTTGTTCTGACAGTAATTTCAGTGAAAGATCTGTTCAGAAGATCTTTTTATACTTCTTCAGAAGCTTCTTCATATACTTGTTCTTCTGTATATTCTTTATCTTGGTTTTCTTCACTTCTGAGTCTCATATGATATACAGAATGCTTTCAGATAAGATCTTGCAAATCATTCTCTTTGCTTATTGATGTATAAGCAGATTTAATTCTTCTATATCAGAGACATGAAATGTCCTTCTCATATCAGTTGATAGAATCATATGAATCATTTTCTTTCTATCAGTCAACTGTATATGACATGTACATTATTGAATCTGCAGATTGAATCTTTGAAATTAATCAAGTTCAAGAATAAGATTATATTTCACATTCTGCAGCTCTTGCACTCAAATATAGCAAGACTATTCTCTGAAGTGCAAGAGAACTCTTACTCTTGCAGATAATATCAAATATCAGTTATCAGATAATCTTATACATCAGAGATTCTTCACTCAGTGAATCTCTTTCAATCTTCAGATTATATAATTATTAATATATTGTATAGAAGCTTCTGTGTCTGCTAACACTTTTACAGTCATCTCTCAATTCTTACTCAAGTATTCTCTATACATTAACATTTCAGGTCTTAAGACATTGAGATGAGTATTCACTTCATTCTTATCTATATCTCATTCAGAAGCCTGCTTCTTCTTTATATTTACAGAATTCAGAGAGTCATCTAATATAGACATCTCTTTCACTTTGAAGACTTTTCAGAGAATATCAGTGAGTGTCTTCAAGCTTACTGATTCTGCTAGTTTTTTGACTCTCTTGCTTCTTTTGACTGTACATACTGAGTGCAATCTTTTGCATCATGATTTTGATATTCACAGTTAAAGCAAGCTCAATGTTCGCCCCGGTGGCCGAATGGTTAATGCGGCCACCTGGTAGCGCCTTGGCATGGGAAACCAAGGCGTGTGGGTTCGAAACCCGCAGGGGATACATTAAATCCGGAACTCAAGCACCTCAGGTTTCTAATAAATACAGAGGTGTACAAATCGCTTCAAAAAATCGCTCTATGTTCCTGGGCTGGGAAGTTATTATCGCATGTATCTAATTGTCACTCCTTTGTATTTCCTATGTTCTTGTTATCTTGGCGTGGTCTCAACACCTGTATTTCCTCCTGTATAACCAACACTTGGCCTGTATTTAACATCACGCAAGGACTCATCATAAGCTCCGCTTGTATATGAGTATAATGGAAGAATAATAATAATAATAATAATAAGCTCAATGTTCATAATATCAAGATTTTCACTTAGAGAATCTCTTTTTCAGAGAATTCAGTGCTTTAGTAATGACATTCAGATCTAGATTTATCATATCTGAGTATATAGCTTGTGTCATAGAAGTCCGATTATCTGTTCTTCACTGAGATATACTCAATTGTAGTATTTTCTATTATAATTGACTCACTTGTTCCTGTACAATGAGAATATTATATACTTTCTTCACTATGTCTGACTATGAGATTAAGCATTTTCATTCTACTCTCAACTCAGGTGTAAGATCATGAATGAAGATCTGTAAATAGAAAGATGTTGAAAGCTCTTCATTCAATGTGAGATAGTATAAGCTGAAGTGTGTGAAGTATGATATAAGATTACTCACTTATCTACACTCAGTGAAGTATTTATAACACTTATCTCATATATTCACTTTCTCAAAGTTATACAAGATTTATTTGAAAAACTCATTTTATATTTATAAGAATGAATATCACTTCAGATCTGTGAGATTCATCTTTTCATCAGTCATTTATAATGACTTTGCTTTTTCACATAGAAATGTAGCAGATTTTAAGACTTGTTGAAATTTTATTAACTGTCTGTCTATGAGTTCATGTTCAATTCAATAATATAATCACATCTGACTTAGTCAGCTGATTACAGCATTATTTTTTCAGTCATCATTGAAGCTTGATGACTCTGACAGATCTTCTAGCTTGATATATTTCATGCTCAGATTCTCATTCTACACAGCAGTCTTCAATGATGTGTACACTTCTGAAGAGGTCATGAATAATTATGATAAGATCTGCAGATTCAGTATAGTTATCTGTCTGTGTAAATATTTAATCTTCTGCTGCAGGCCTAAGATCTGGTTTTCTCTATTCTTATTAATGATGATGATTGCATCAGTGAAGCTCTTCATAGTGAATACTTGATTCACAGTGAATGTCAATTATTGTTTGACTTTTATCTCAGCCTGTCACTGTGTACACAAGGCCTCAATCTCATTTAGAATCCTCATACACATACAGAGCTTCAATTTCAGTTCAGTGATTTCAGCTGCTTTTCTTACTGCTTTAAGTAAACTCTCTGAGAGGTTCTGCATATCTTTCAATTCAGATAGCAGAGAAGGGTGTTGTTTGTATCAGTTAGAAGAGGTATTCATTTCAGTGATTTTCTCATTGATTGTACAATGTCTATCATTATATTGCTATATTACTGTATCATTATATGATTTCTGTTATCATTGTATGACTTCAGTGGTGGCCACTCCTTCTTTTATTTCTTTGAGTGAAGAGCAGTCTCTTTTGAATCTGGTTCACTGCTCTCATTTCTTTTCTCACATCTCATTCATTCGCATATGTGGCATTTGCCTGAGTGTGGAGTTTTTCCTCAATAAGTGAAGCAGCATCAATCAGATGCTCTTTCACTCATCACTCTTTGTACACTATCTTTTGAGGTGTTCTAGAACCACTCTGGCATGATAACTACAAATCACTTCATAGATGGAATTATCACACTCTGGAGAAGCCTGTGCTTCTCACCAGTTTTTAGACATGCTATCAGATATGATTCAAAGATTGCTTGAGCCAGCATACAATTACAGGTGTATGCCGGCTTCTTATATATTGTAATATCATACACTAATTTAATTAGCGGCTGCTATGGCCCCTTTACACTCATACGCGTACGCTAGTAGTTCGGAAGCGGCCGCGGTATTATCCGACGGTCATACGTTCTTCCGAACCACAAATATATCAATCTTGATTAATTATTATTATTATTATTATTCTTCAATTATAGATGTATGCAGTCAGAGACTATGACATCTACCTGAGAACTTTTAGTTCTCAGGGTTTTTTCTATATCTGTAAAGTTAACTATTATACATTCATCAATTTCAGATATACAAAATCAGAAAATTTCAGCTCAGAATACAAAAACTGTTTACAAATTACAGTGTTTTAACATCATCTCATACTTTGAAATCATTTGACAATATCATGACAAAGGAAAAGAGAACACAGTCTTAAAGATAGACACATTAAATAGATAGACAGAAAGAAATTGAAAGGAAAAGATAAAATAAAGAAAGACTGTAACAAAATAAATTATTAAAAGATAGTATATAGCTGTTTTAACAGACTATATCTGATTGATTTCCTTCTCTTCATATTCAGATAATTCTGAATTTAGTCATTTTCTTATAGCTGCTTGAGTTTCTGATAGAAAGTCTATTAAGTATTTAATTCCTGTCTCAGTTGAGAATAAGAATCTCATATTTAATTGATTTAGATCATACTTCTCTTTCAATCTGGCTCTGAGACTATTGTATAATGCACAGTGCATTACAATATACTCAGGATTCTCATTTGTATTGCAGAATGAGCATTCTATTGAGTCAAATCTATCATCAAATCTTTATATATAAGATTTAAAATAGCCATATCCTAGTTTCAGCTGTATTATAGATGAGAATATTTTCTTTTTACATTTAATTGAACAAGATTTCCACTTGGGTTTTGTTTCAAATCTTGAATAATGTATACTCTTCTTTTATTTCTGTCAGCTTTCATTTCACTTGTCTAAACAAGATTCTTTTATTTTTCTCTTTATAAAAGATCAGGACACAATTTTTTGAATAGATCTGCTTAATTCTGCACTCTTTTTTGCAGCTGAATCAGTCAATTCATTGTTATGAATATTCATATAAGTAGAAACTCAGTGCAGATGAATTATCAGCTTTCATATTCTTCTCTTTTGAATTTTCAAAATAGAGTTTAAGATCAGTTCAAGATTCATTTGATCATTATGAATCTGACTATTTCTAAGTCTTTTTAAAGCAGCTTGACTATCAGAGAATATTCATATCTCTTTCAAACAATTTTCTCTTTTATGAGATTTTATTTCAATGAGTTTGAAAGCTTTCACTATTATAAATAGTTCAGCATCAAAGACTTCACATTCAGAGTCTAGATTTCAGAAATCTGAGATAAAATTGATATTATCTTCAGTATACACAATGCCTGTGTCTAATCTATTCAAGTTCTCATTTTTTGAGTCATCTGAATAAATCAGAATAGAGTCTTTTATATTAATTGTAGAAATTCTCTTTGAATACTGTTCATATTCTTTCTCTTTTAATAGTTCACTTATTTGTAAGTCTATAAGAGATTCAAGCTTTTCTCTTCAGAGAGATAACTTCTCATGATCAACTTTTTCAATATTTAAAGAAGAAAATTGATTTTTAATCAGAGAGCATAGTCTGTACAGTTGAGAAGGCATTTTCTTTGAAGAATTATTTTCATTTCAATCAAGAAATCTATTTCAATCCAGTTCATTTTCAGAGTTAATTGATGAAAATGAAGAAGAGACTCTTTCTCTGATTATATGATTTGAGCTCATCTTTACAACTCTCAGAGCATAGTTCATACAGGCCTTTTCAAATCTAATAGCAGAAGAAGGAATTGAAGCTTCAATTTTCATGACTTTAATAGAAGATGATTTGAATGCTCTCAGAATTCTTCTCAAGACTCTGTTTTACAGACTTTGAAAGAGTTCAGTGAAATTCTCTTGATTATTTCATCAAACTTGAACTTCATAATCAGCTACTGATGTAATACAGGCTATATATAACTGTCTCATAGCCTGGAAGAATAGATCTCTCTCTGTATTTGATAGTCTGATTATGTTGTTCAATAGTCTTTCTGCCTTGACAGTTCTTTGTTGAATGTAATATTTAAAATTCAACTTGGAGTTTAATCATACTTCTAATCATTTGACATTTACACTGAGTTTAATCTCTCTATTTAAAAGAGTTAGAGATAGTTCTTTCTCATTGAATCTAGAAAAGAAGTGAATTAACTCAGTTTTATTCATATCAAATTGAATTTAATTGATATCTGCTCTAACAAAGATTTTCTTTACAGCTTCTTCAATTACTTTCAAATTCTCTTTGATAGTTTTTGAGCTGTAGACTAGACCAATATCATTCACAGAATTCAGAGATCACACTATTCTCATATTTCTATTTTTAAATAGATATACAGTGTATATTGAAAATAAAATAAGTGAGATTGAAGATCTCTGTTATACTTCTATTTTTATCTCAGTCTTGTCTTATTTCATTCCATCAAAGAAGAGTTGTATACTGCTTTTAGATATAAAACAGTTAACTCATTTTATTAGAGAAAGTGACAGTTTTAATATCTTCAATGTCTGAATTAACTTTGACTTTGAAACATGATCAAATGCTTCTTTTATATTAATAAAAACTGCAGTTGAGACCAGATTCTCATGCTTTGCTATTTGAATATTATGAACAACTGAGAGAACAGTGTCAATTATAGAACACTGTTTTCTATCTTTCATTTGTTCACTGAATAAAAGAGAATCATCTATAAAGCTTATAAAAGATAGTTGAGTAGCTATTATCTTTTCTAAAACCTTTTCTAGACAGTTCAATAGAGATATTACTCTATATGACTTAGGAATTGAAGTTTTTCTATTAGGTTTTGTAAGAATCACTTCAGTGGCTTCTCTCCAGCATTCAGAATAATATTCATTTTTCAAGAGATTGAAAAAGAGCTCAAAATATTCATTCTTTAAGTAGAAATATGTATTCTGAATAATCAAGTGATTAATTGAATCAGAATCTGCAGCAGTTTTAACAGAACTTGAGAAGATAGCTGACTCTAATTCATCTTGTGTAAG